GCTTGGTATTGAGCAGCTCTGTTTTGCTGCTAAAACCTGGTATGGAGGGTTTTTGGGCATGATGGTTTTTGGTGCAAGTGAAGTGAGCAGAAATGTGGATCTTGGCGACGAGACGACCACAATGATGTGCAAATTTGTGATCCGAGCATCAGATGAATCCATTACCAAGGAGATTGCTTCAGATTTTCAGGGTTGGTTGGATGACCTAACTGATGGTGGTGTTGAGTACATGCCTGAAGATGAAGTAAAGGTGGCTGCTGCTGAAAAGCTAAAGATTTCAATGGAACGGATAGCATTACTAAAGGCGGCAAGACCTCGCTTGAAGTCTCCAAAATTTGATGATGGAAAGAAGAGGAGGAAGACGAAGATGACGAGAACCAAAAGAAAGAAGACATGATTAACGTTGAAAATGGTAAAACTAAGGGGCCAACTACTTTATTTAAGTGGACGGCAGAAGAGGTTGAGCATTGGGCACTTCAAGCAGCTGTAATTCAGGAACGGCATATGCTCTGTAAAGATAGGGATGCCAAAGTAAATTGATTTTGCATACTTTCTTCGCCATTTTTGTTTTGATAATTTGATTTAGGTAGTTGGTTGAGATGAGTTCTAAGTTTGTTTTCTATAATTCTAATTTGTTTCTTTTGTCCCAATTTTGTAATTTTTCTGTATCTTTTTGAAGCACTCTGAGGCTGTAAATTAAGAAGGCCTGACGCCTTATACCATCTTATACCGTCATCCTTTCTCTTCTCTGTTGTGTACTTTCTATTACCATCTTTTAACTTTTGAAAACTTAATAACTATCAATCTGTGTCTGAAAAAAGAATAAACTGTTGTCTGCTTCCTTTGGTGCTAATAGTTGGCAAATATATGGTTTCCTGGAATATGTAGAGGATGGATATCTTAATTGTTTGCTTTTTCCATCGCTATCCCATCTAATCTCATGTGCACTTTGCAAATCTTATGTGGGGTAAACTTGCAGTGCATATATTATGTTTTAGTTTTACCTGTCTTAAAACACTTATACTTTGGAGTGCTTTTTCACAGTTCAACCTTTTTGGTTGACACTTTCGCTAATCTGTCAACTAACTTTTATTTGCAAATAACGTACACACGGTTATCTCTCTCTATATCTAGGATAAATATGGATGAGCTAAATAAAGAATCCATCCGTTTAACTCCTTTTTACCTATTGGTGCTCCGGATCTCTTATTTCTCGACTTAATCGGTTTATACTGTTTGGTGGTGGTGGTGGTGGGTGGGTGGTCGGGGGGGGGGGGGACAGACTTGTCCTAATACAGCCTTACTAGTGTTTATAGAACAACATCATGTCTTGATACAGATGTACATCGGTGTTCTTTCATTTTATCCATTTGCCCTTAATGAAAAGCTTTTATAGCTACACAAATGTCATGATCCCACAAACTTTTTACCCCTTAAGCTTTTAAGATCACAAGTTTCAAAAGTCTTCGTTTTTCTTAAACTCCGTGCCGAGTCAAACTACCTCTTATAATATGAAACTGAGGGAGTATTAGATTTTAAAAGTTACTCAACCTGCTATAGAACACTATTTTTTTTTATTGATGCAGTTTGTTTTGGTTTCTACTACTTTAATTAGGTGATATAGTGATTATGCAACTGATTAGAACAGATGAGTATAATATGGTTGAGCTTGTAGAAAGTGATATAAGGTTGAGTACGCAAGTGTTAGTTATGCGTTGAAAAAAAGAAAAAAAGAAAGAAAGCTATTCGCTCGAGCTTACTGTTTCGGCCGTTCCTTTCATTCTTGAGTGCAAACGTTGAATATTTGTATTCTAGGATTAGTGTTATTAGAATTATAACAAACTGTTGAGTTAGATGGAGATATTTTAATATATTATTACTTTTAAATTCATGGATTAAGGTGTAAAATATTGAGATTGAGCTCTAAGTCAGAAATTAAGAAAAATTATGAAGTGATCCCAGCTAGTATGATTGACGTCGTTTATCAATATTTTTGTATAGATTGAGGTCATTGAAGGCCATTTGGTTGGTTTCTTAGACGTCGCAATGTTGAGAAACTTTACGCTTTGATAGACTTTACGCTTTGATACTTGCTTTTCTAAAACCCGTTTTGAAAGTGTGTTTCTCTGTCTGGTCCATGTGTTGGGACAAGCGTGCGCTTGGCAAAGTCGGTGGTCTTAGAGCCGCAAATTATTATTTTATGAAAATACAAAAAAATATATATATTATTTTATAAGTTGTTTGAAAGTTTGATACGGTTGCGAGCCATGTGTTGAGTTTGATACGGCTATGCGCTATGATGTTGAGTTTGATAGTTTGATTCGGCTATGAGCCATGGTGTTGAGTTTGATACGGTTGTGCGCCATGGTGTTGAGTTTGATACGGCTGTGCGCCATGATGTTGAGTTTGATACGGCTATGCGCCATGATGTTGAGTTTGATACGGCTGTGCGCCAGGATGTTGGGGCATTGTGTATGCCTTTGTACATCACCTGAGCATTGTGTATGCTTCTTGATATATTTGGAGCATTTTGTATGCTTCAGTGAGCATTGTGTATGCTCTATTACATATTTAAGGCATTTTGTGGTGCCGTTGTGGACTCGCAGGTGTGTTGGTAAAAATATTTCACTGCAATTATGATAAGTCCTTAGTGGATACTCTTGTTGGTTAATTCTTAATAACTCTGTTGATACACATATATTGAGTTATTGTATAATTATCCTATTTACTATAACATTCGTGTTATAATGTGTTTGTATTTTCTAACACTTGTTTCAGAGGTATTTAAAGTGGCGGGTCGAGGATCTTACTGGATTATATTTACGTATAACTCACTCCTTAACTGCATCTCTATGCAAGATACCGTAGCGGGAGATAGAGCTAGTGGCTGGTGAGTTTGTTTGAGTGAATCCTACTGCTGAGGTGAGCCACCACATTGTTCGTGGAGGCTTTCGTTTCAGGCTTACTTAGTTCGTGTTAGTTATTTTCTTTTCTTTGGGGTTTGCATACCCGTTTACTCTGTTAGATGCTCCATGATCTTAGCGTGGGATTTGGGTTAGAATTTTATTATTTGAGTGATTGTTGGTTTTTCTATCAATTTATTAAGGTATTGGGCGATAATCATTTCCTCTGTAATTATTAATAATACTATTAGGCCTGCATTTTTTTCCACTAAGTGTTAGTGTAAATGGTTAAATGTTAGAGAGAGGGGTTCGCCTGGCAGGTGGTGTTAGCTGGGTGCGAGTCGCGTCTAGGGGTAGTTTGGGACGTGACACTATAGCCAAACTTTTTATAACATACTTGGGCCAAGGGTGATAGTCGTGGACGGATGCCCCCTTTCACGCTCCATTTGTGCAACAGTGCAAGCTATTCACAGCTCTCTAAGATGACATCAATACGATGGCAATTAGACAACTACATACATAGAGACTGCATGCACTAAATAAAATGGTAGTGAAATACTTTAGTGTTTCTCCGCCAAGAATAGCTGCCAAAAATAGGCCATCTGATTATAAAGCCAATCTGCACTGGTAGAAGTACATTTATAGAAAGTGTCAATTGGAGATGATGTCATTTGGAGTTCAAGAATAAAATAAAGGAAAATGACTAAGAACCAAAAGGACATCCAATCTGGCTGCATCAGACCAAACACAGCAAGCACCTGTATCATTGCTCCAGGAAGATCATTTGTCCAATGGAGTCCCAAGCAGCTAATGACCAGATCAACAGAACTTCCCATGTGAAACAAAAGTATCAAAAAAGGATGCTATTCCTTAATCCACCAGTAGCTTAATCCTACCGTTCATTAAGGAAAGCATCAGATAGTTATACGTACTTTTCTTTCACAGGCAAATATTCTTCATCACCAATAATGTATGATGTTTCAATGTTATCATTAGGCATTTGCTGCTCAGCATCTTTAAACAATTTTACCATATCACATGATGTATCCATCATTAGTAATTCTCAATGCCACTTGAAAAGCAATAGTTTGCCCATAATCATGCTCTAGCTTCATGAAACAATATAAGCATGTTCATCAAGTGGTTCGTTAGAGTCAAATTATTACTCAATCCAGGATGAGCCGACGTTGGATCGAGCATCATCTTTGGTTGAAGGGCTAATTTCATCTAAAAATTATTAATCTGAAGTGATGGAAAATTAGTGATAGATTAATGAGATCCTTCTTGTCTAATGGAGACATCTTATGTAGTAATGTTATTTTTCTTTTTTGAAAAAATGCAATATAATTTTGTATGAAGTTAAAGACAAAGAGAGGATGCCCAAAAAGGTTACGAGGCTAAGTGATGCTAATGGCTTCCAAGAAAAGATCTATTCAAGCATCAATAGGGCATGGATTTGCTTCTTTACAAAAAAATGAACAATTAGTTGCGAGCACATTGACTAATCCATCGGGTACCTGCTACCTCCACTAGTACCTGAGTAACTCTGCCTACCAAAACTTAGATAGATAGGATGAAATCACCTAACGCTTCGGCTAGGATTTGAACCTTCATCTACCAAGACCTTTCACACTTCATTGACCACTAGGCCACACCCTTGATGCAAAAATTGTTAGATTTTTTCTAATGACTTTTCAAGCCCTTGATATGCATATCTACTCCTTTCTCTCTCTTTCTTTCTGGTTTTTAATAACAAAGTGTTGGACTAACTTGCGTGCACCTCGTCTATTTCATATGATACGTGTATCCTCTTACTAATACAAGTACCGGATAATTCTATCCACCACGACGTAGAAGATAAGAAAAATTACCTAATCTTTTGCCTCGGCTGGGATTCGAACCCATCGTCTCAAGAAAACCAGGCTTAAAAGTTCTGTGCAATCCAAATGAATAGAAAACTAGGTCACAAAGCTCAAGCAGATTGCAACAACGGGTGATTTATGTCTTCCACTATAAAGTTGCACATGAAAATGAAACACAAGTTACCATGACTGATCTCTCTTTACTGAAGACTCCCATTGTTTGAGTTACGACAACATACTTGTGAAATTCTTGCAACATTAATTTATAGCATCAGCGTAGGTGTCC